GCATGCCCCTATGTTACAGCGAACGAGCAAACGCCCTCGGCTGACCTACCTCTGCGACTGCATCATAAGAGCTCTCGCACGTGGGTCAGTAGCTCGGCAGGGATACGCCCACCCACGGGATGGTGACAGCTCCCAACGGGTGGAGGTAAGTTGTTCCTCGCGCAGCCTCTGTCCTGTCGCAGGAGCGCGCGAGAGGTATGGTTGGCGCACTCGGCCAGAGCGGCACCAGGGCGCGCGTTTGTTTTCCGCGCGTCCGTCAAGCCCCGCCTAATCCTGCGTGACAAAGGCCGGGAGGGTCCCGCTCGCACGGGATCGATGCGCACGACAGCGGTTATCTAGAAAAATGGTGGTCAGCGTACGATTAGGGACCATAATCCCTAAAGAGGCGGAATGGGCAGAGACTGGCACAAAGATAGATTGGAAGTTTGTTGCATATGGGTGCCTAGATGTCGTGGTAAAAGGAAAGACTTGCACGGCCATGATGGATAGTGGCGCAGAAATGAACCTTATAAAGGAGGAGCATGCTGTGCGTTTAGGGATGAAAATAGACCGCTCCGACAACGGGGTCCTGATTGGGGCAAACAGTCGGTCGGTATTTATAGAAACCGCATCAGCAGTGGTTCTGAAAATTGCGAAAGTAAAGGTAAGGAGTTGTTTGTTCGTAATGCCTGATCTTGATCACCCTATTCTACTGGGTAGATCGTTCCTGAGCCGAACAGAGACTGTCATACTTAACAAGGATGACGGAACTATGTTCCTCGTTTTGTGCGATCCAGTATGTGGCAATTATGAGGTTGTCAATTGCAAGAATACAAGGCCTAGGAGTATAAGGAACTGGCCCAACCCTGGTTCTTTCATAATTGAAGCATCAGAAGAGGGAAGATTGAGGATTGGAGGCAGTAAGTTTGAAGAAGAAAGAGAGCCAGAAGCACTGACCCTGAGCCTGGCAAGCATAGGTGATGCCATGGACATAGTATCGACCTACGGGATGGTAGACCCAGAGGTTGTGGAAGCCTTGAGAGAGAAGGTGGTGGAACAAATGGGAGAAGGAAAAATGGAATTCGTGTATCGAACACCAGGAATGATAGGTGGAACAGCTGAAGCCCAACCCCAAAGTGCAACTTGGTCTTTTTTAGGGGTGGGCTCAAGCAAGCGTTACAAAGGCGGTACAAAAAGGTAGATCAGAAATGCCGCCCTGTTCCCATGCTCGTTACTGAAGAACAAGAAGTTTACTACGGACGGGAGCGAGAGTTGATACGGCAGATGCGAGAAAACGCAGAAAATGGGTCGTGCTGCATCACTCATGAGACAGAGAAAGCGTTGATTATAGGGGAGTTTTGGCTTCCTTACAGCGCAAGAGGAGAAGCTTATGGTGGATACCATAAGAGGAAGGCACATTGCATATGCCTTCATTGATGATGAGAGAGGTCGTCTGGACGTGGACATAATCCCGACGATTAGGATACACACCGTACCTCACGAGCCATGGAACTTGCGAGGCGCGGGATATCCTAATCCAACTGATGAAGAGAAGGTAGTCAAGTACCTTGATGGGAAAATTCGCACACATGTGGCAGACTACTCGAGTGGGCCGTATGCATCCCCCTGGTTTTGCTTTGTCAAACCCAATGGGACTCTGAGGTGGGTATAGGATTTGCAGCGCTTGAACGCTGTAACAGTGAGAGACGCAGGTGGTCTCCCCAACGCTGATGCGCTTTCAGAGGCCTGCTCTGGGAGAGCCATAATATCTCTCATAGACTTATATTCGGATTACGACCAATTTCCTGTATACCCATCTGACAGGCCTCTGACAGCTATGTATAGTCCTCGAGGGTTGATTCACATGAACGTCGCACCGCAAGGGTGGACGAATGCGGTTGCCATGGTCCAAAGACACATGGTGAGGGCAATGCAGCCCATAAGTCCTCACATTACGCAACCTTATATTGATGATCTGGCCGTGAAAGGATCTAAGGAGAAGGATGAGCAGGAGGTGATGTCAGGGGTTAGGCGTTTCGTCTGGGATCATGTGCAAGACATGTGCAAGGTCCTGGACCTCCTGAAGGAGCATAACCTCACTGTAAGTGGACCGAAGTCGAGACACTGCATGAGCGGGACCACTATCTTAGGATTTGTGTGCGACGAGAGTGGTCGTTGGCCAGATACTAAGAAGACTAATAAGATTCTCGAATGGCCAACACCGTTCGACACCATCACATACGTAAGGAGCTTTCTGGGAACGTGTGGATTTTGGAGGATCTTCATAAAAGGATTTGCGGCAAAGACTGAGCATTTGCGAAAGCTTCAGGGTCAAGATTGGGAATAGGGATACAAGCAAGGGTTAGTAATAGAAGGTATAAAGAAACAACTTTGAGGAAGGAGGTCTAGTACTAGGGGTACCGGATAATCCGGCAGTAATGACCAGACCGTTCATTGTCGAAACAGACGCAGGGCCGACGGATTTAAAAAGTGTGTTGATCCAACGAGACGTCAATGGGGAAGAGTGGCCACTAAGATTTGAAAGTCGAACGCTCAATACAACTGAGAGGAACTATTCTCAATTTAAGCGCGAAACCTTGGTAGTTCTTCACTGTTTAAGGATCTTCAGGAACTACCTCTTTGACAGCGGGTTTGTATTGAGGGTGGATCCAACGGCTCTAGCTGGTTCCCTTAAGAACTTCGCTCCCTCAAATCCAACTATCGCCAGGTGGCTAACGTACATCTGGATGTTTGACTTCAAGTTGGAACGAATTCCGGGGAATAAGAATAGAGCAGACGGGCTGAGTCGGGTCGACTGGGACAAGAATAATCAAGGAGTGATCGAGGATACTCCACCAGTTGACGGGTTGCTAGATAGTGAGGAGGATGTGAGACTTCACATCAACTCCTAGTCACTGGCCGTGGGTAACTTTATTACTCTTGGGCGACCTGTGTAGCTTGCGCCTCCAGGACATGTACGACGACCAGACTTAGTCCTTAAGCCCTATGTTGAAGAAGACTCTTGGGGAATGCCAGGTGTGGATTGGATGATGGATCTGGCGTTAGCAGGCAAGTACCAATTACATGAGGACCTACTCACAATAGAGAGTGGGGTGCCGCAAGTGAACAAACACGAGAAAGTGATGGGTGAGATATATCTCTTGGCTAATGTGCTGCTTCAGGAGGAGGTGGCCAGAAGTACGGTGCAAAATCAGGAAGAAAATGATAATGTGATCCATGAAAGCGAGGATTATGATTTTGAGGAATGGGAGATCAAAGAAGCGTTTCGGGCAGAAGAATGTGAGGGATTATACCTTGAACTCAGGATGCTTCTTTCGTGTGAAATGAGGGAAAGGGATGCTTGCGAGAGAGTTCTGAAAATGAGGTCAAACTTGATAGTAAGCAATGGCCATCTATTCATGAGAAGCAAAGGGAAGACTCCCAGAAGGGTAGTCTGTGGCGTCACTCGCCAGATTGACATTATGGTAGCGCTACACGATGGTACGACAGATGGTCACAGAAGTACAAACACGACATATCTCAAGATACACGAACTGTACTATTGGGATGGCATGAGACAAATGATTGATGACTATTGTAAATCTTGTGTACCATGTCAGGAGCGATCCTCTCTTAGACCTAGGGAGCCGCTTCACCCGAGGTATGTTCCCGAGGTTGGAGTAGTCGTGCACCTAGATCTGTTGGCGATGCCACTGGGAATAGGGAGTTATAACTTCATCTTTGATGCGCGGGACAACCTCTCTGGGTTTGTAGATAGCAGCGTTATTCGCACAAAGACTGATGAGACGCTGACCCAATGCATCGAAGAGTATTATCTCCGCTACCCCTTTTGTCTCTAGATTTGTGATGGATAGAGGGTCTGAATTCACATAATGTGCAGAAGTGAAGACACTGTTAAAGAGATATGGGGTAAGCGTCGAGTACACTACTGCAGCGCACCCTCAAGCTAATGCACCTGTGGAGAGAGGACATAGTACCATCACGAATATTCTCGCCAAATGGACTAATGGCAGACCCAATCAGTGGTTGAGCTTTCCAAGGGTGGCTTTCTTCGTGGATAATATCACCGTCAGAAGAAGCACCGGCTACGCACCGGCTACGTTATGGTATGGCAGGCGTGCGATGTTCCCTATCGAAAGTTTCCTAAAGACTTGAAAACGACAAGACCTCGAGACCAATCTGACATTTGAGGAACTGCTTGATTCAAGGGCACGTCAGATTGACACTATAGAGGACAAAATTGAGAAAGCGGCGAGTAGGGTGACTGACAGTCGTACTAAGGACAAGTTCAGGTGGGATAAAATGACGAGAGTAAGGAGAAAACCTCTCAAGGTGGGAGACATTGTGTTGCTATATGACTCGTTTTTAGAGAAGCAATGGTCGCGAAAGTTGAACAAGAGGTGGCTGGGACCATACAGGGTCACCATGAGTGGTGAACATGGAGCCTACCAAATTGAGGAGCTGAATGGGACGGCGTGGAAAGACTGGGTATCAGGCTCGAGGCTAAAGAAGTTTGTTGCTTGAGGCGAGGAAAGCATGGATCTCACCAGTTAGAGTCACCCGTTGATTACTTTACGTAGGAATATTAGTATAAGTAGAAGGTATAAGATATTGTTCTCAGTAGAATAGTGTGGTATGTTATGGCTTTTCGGATAGACTCCCATGTGTATGTACGCATATATGGATAGGCAGATAGCTGGGATAGTTGTGGGAGGGCTATGTCTGTCTCCTGTTGTGATTGTCCAAACTGCTTACCCTCTGTGTGCTCTTGTTTGTCTCTTCCTTATTGTGCAGGTTTGACACCGCTTGCGGCAGCCATGCCAAGAGGGAGGGGAGGGGTAGAGCCAGTGGAGACCCCTTTGGGGGTGACCAAACAGAGGGTAGAGATGAAAACCAGGAGAGAGGACAGACCTCCAATTTTCCAGAGAGGAAACATTGAGTTGTTCCTGATCGAATTTAAGAGTCATGCACGAGAGTTTGGATAGGATGACACTAGGATGCTGAGGGAGGTGTGAGGCACAGGCGAGTGGATGGACCCCATTGCCAACCTTGTTAGGGGGTCACTGAGCTGGCAAGACCTTGAGAGGAAGATGAAAGGTTTGCACCCGTCGCCAGTGGGGAGAGATGGACAACCCATTCGATTTGACTCCACTAATCTGAGGGAATTCCTATGGGCCTATGACCAGTATGCAGACGATCTCAATATTCTAGGAGAGCAGAGGATGGGGAGCTTCCTCCTGTATGTGAGGCGACACATCAGATCCTTTGTTAGATCTATTGTGGCACCTGCTATGAATTGGGGTCACTGCAAGAAGCTGCTCTGGAACCACTATGCTCCAGCACGTCAGGCAGGTAAAAGAAGGAGTCTGGAGAATAGAAGTAGAGAGCCAGAGGCAACTGAGAGGAGGACCTTTGAGCAGGGCATGTCTTCAAGGACTCAGAGGGAGGACAGGAGAAAGGAGCACAAAGCACACATGCACGAGAGGGTAGGAGGGTTAGGTGGTTCAGATGTGCCTCCACATCCTGCTCAGCTGGATGTGGACTACCCTATGTCAGACATAGAACCAGACTTGCCTCATGAGCCACTTGTGCAGGAGCAAAGGGAGGAGCAGTCTCCCAAGGAGAAGGAACTGGACAGGAAAGAGAGAGCAGCAAGGGAGCAGGAGATCAAGGTGCAGCTCAGGATGAAAAACCTTGCAGAGCTGTGTGAGAGGATGCAGCAAGGAAAAGAGTCTGAGGAGGTGGGAGACAAAGGTGGTAAGGGCGCTTGCACTCAGGAGAAGGATCTTCCCCTGGTTTCAAAGGTTTTGGTCAGCTTTGACAGGCTGATGGAGGCTGCAGGGAGATCTGGAGAGCATCATCAGGAGATGGGGGTCAAGTTAGTCTCTACGAACTTACTTAATCTGAGGGGCGTAATGAAGGAAGGCTTTGCAGCGGCCAAAGCTTCAGATCAAAAGGCTGGGGGAAAATTGACGAAAGTGGCTCAAAAGGTATATGGTCAGATAGTGGACTGGGAAAAAGAAGTTGAAGACCTGAAGAAGGAGTTGGAAAGACAGAGCAGAGAGATAGAGGCAGTGAAGGCAGACATGGTGAAGATCTGGGCAAAGAACGAGGCCGTTAGGCAAGTCAACCAGACCCTCAATAAGGTCAATGACGTCCTGAGAGTCTACTTGCAGGCGCAACAGGTTTCCTTTCAAGCAAAGGAAGCTGAATGGGAAAAGAGGATACAGGACCTTGAGGCCAGGTATACACGACAGACCCCTACTGCAGTGGTGGATTGGACAAAGGTACAGGGGTTTGAGATGAGGAAACAACCTGAAGAGAAAGTTTTCAAGTGTTAGAAGGAAGAGGAGAAGGTGGGTCAACAAGAAGGTGAGGAAATTCCTCTAATAGACAAAGCCATGCTGGAGCTGCAGGGAGCACTAGCTGAGAAGGATGCAGGGGGTGGAAAGTTTGAGTGGAGGATGCCAGCTGGCCTGACACTTGGACAGGAACCAGCAAGGCCAGAGGAGAGGTCACCAGCTGAGGCCATGAGGAGTGAAGTAGTCCCACCCACAGCTCAGGGAGAGGCTGTGACCCAACAGGAGATTCAGGAGAGTGTGGGTCAGACCATGGTAGAGGCCGAGCTGAGAGTGGATCAGAGGAGCCGTCAGGAGTCCCCTATGCCTCAGGATATGCCTCTTGTTGCAGATCTGCGGGGCGCATTGGGGTCTTGGGCTACTGGCTCTGAACCAGAGGGGCGAGTTGGTGAGCAGGTGACGCAGGCAGATGACAGAGCAGCATGTCCCACTTTCCCGAAAATTCCGCAACAAGAGGTTACGAGTAAGGTCTCAGCAGCCCCATCATCTGTACCCTCGCATGAAGGAGATAAGGTAGAGCAAAACAGGGTAGGAAGGTGTTTTTACTGCAAGAAACGCAGACACTTACAGGAAGAGTGTCCCAAGAGCCTCGAGGATGAGGCAAAGGGTTTGCTTACTTGGGATTCAGCTGGGGTACGCAGGGATAGGAATGAGAACCTGATCCTAAAAACTCGTGGTGGGATTCGGGCGCAGTTGTATAGGCAGCTTCGCATTATAGACTTTTAGGTTTTTTGTACATAAGACAACACTGTGTATAATGCTGACTATTTTTTTTCTTACTCCTTTCCGTTAGTGTGGTGTGGAGGGTTCTTATAATACCTTTGCATAAGTTATGGTTCCTTTATCGTCTAGAGTAGAGTGACACTCATGAGTATGGAGTGACTTTCGATTTCAGATACTTGACACTTGGATATTTTTTAATTTTTTGTTGTTACTATAAATCTGCGTGGATACTTGGACTCTTTGCACAATACTCTGACTTTTCGATAAGGACAGGAGCCTTTGCTTATTGCAGGACCCCACATCCTGTGTACAAATGTGAGTCTTGAACCTTGTTTTTTTTGTGTATGGTGTGTCACACTCACTCTCAGGTTTGTGGACTTGCCCATATGGATGATGGTGTGATGAAATGAATATTGTGAAATGAACCGGTCTGCACATTCTTCCTTTGCACTTAAATATCCTTGTCCTAAGGACAATGTCCTAAGAACAAGGAAAAACTAAAGTACAAAGGGAGAGAGTGTCCCTCAGGGTTTTGAGGAAGAGGTGACACGATGTGTTTTGCACAGATGAAATGATGATGAATGGAAAGGTCATAACCAAAGTTGTGTCTTCTGTATGACCCAGAAAGGAGAGAGGAAAACCCAATGGCCAATTGGACCTTCTTAAAATGATGAAAATTGTGAGAGCACTCAAAAGAGTTGCTATAATGATGATAAATTTTTGTGTGTATGTAAGTCTGACGAGGGAAGGCCAAAACTTTTGTGAGAATAATGGATGGAAATTTCTGGCAGTTATGATAGAACTCTGGAAAATATTTTGAGAGATCCCTGAAGACGTGTGACCTCGCCTACTCTGATCAAAGTAACGGAGGCACGACCTTGTGGAGTTACTGAGGGAATTCATGAAATTTTGGGAAAATGCACCATCCCTCCACGTAGTCCCGTTGGCAATTGGTATGTGATCCTTTGTTGTTCTGAAGACTTTTTGGAAGAAAGTGCCAGACCACAATGGAGTTAGTCTCAGGGACATATTTTGTGACGTCAAGCTAAGGGGTTATACTTAGCATCGCCGGAACTGTAGAACCTAACTCCCGGCGAGGACCGCTGTCGAGCACATCGGTCCGGCACCGCACGGAGCAGCGCGGGACCCTCCCGGCCGCGTCACGCAGGAGTTGGTTTAAATCCTTCGTCGCAAATATACATGGAGCTTCCGCAAGCCGCTCCGGCCGAGTGCGTCAGCCATACCTCCTGCGAGCCCCTATGACAGGATAGGGCCTACACGAGGCACGACTTACCTCCACCTTACGGGAGTTGTCACCTCCCTTCGGTGGGCATATCCCCGCCGAGCTACCAGTCCATAGTACGAAAGTTAATCAGTTGCAATCGCAGAGGTGGACCAGCCGAGGGCGTTTCTCGTTCGCTGTAGCATAGGGGGTACGCGCGGTAATACGCCCCTATCAGACCCGCACGCGAACCGTCAACTTGGGGGGCTGAAGTCCCAAGCGCGGTCCGTTGTCGGTCGACTAGGACGTATCTCACTCACCACGCATACACCGCACTACGAACACAAAAATAAAACACACACACACACACACACACAAATCGAACAACGCGACAACACTCCTAGTCCCTTAGTAGCCGTCCCATAACTTTCCGACGCGGAAATCGGGTAGGCGTCGCGCGCGAGTATAAAACTGCGCGGACGAAGGACCTACTCATATCGACTCGCAATGCAAGCGTACGCGAGCGGTCGTAGTGATGGCGTACTATGTAGTACCCATACCCAGGCGGTCCTCGTTAGTCTCGAGGGTCGTATTCGACACTCAAGTGTCGGCTGACACGCGCCTTGAGGGTTAATCTCTCGACGTTGGACAACCGCCATGCGTGGTTGAAGACCACACACCCCCTTCTGCACTCTGTGCAAAGTGGGTAGTACATAGGTCCATACCTGTGGTGACAGTCGTTTCTTGCTGCCCTGGAGGTGAGTTCTGCTCCGGGCCCAGACAAAAGTCAAGGGGTTTGACTTTGACAGTTGCCACAGACTATAGCGTCCAACCATGATAACTCTAAAAAACAAAAGTAGGCCGGGGGTCCCCCTATTCCGAAAGACATCATGACCCTGGGGTACCTTCCCCTTTTTGGGTGGTGCCAGCGGCCTATAATAATCCCAAGCGTTCGTACGTACGTGCAAATCCCTTAATCTCATAACCTTTAGGCGCCAGGGCGGCGAAACGTCGCGAGCAGGATCCTAACATAAAGTCGCGCGGCTGCAAGTCAGTCCCATACCAACCAATGATGTCAGTCATACATGGTAATCGCGGCTCTGGCCTCGCGATATTGAACGACTAAAGGAATATATCGTGAGGGGTTACCCCTCACGATATTGAACGGCTGAAGGACATGTCGTTCAACCCTCGCGAAAGTTCCGCCTCCAGGGTTGGGTGTCCCGACAGGCAGTACAGATAGGGTCTGCGCGAGGGGAGGTTTCTCCCCTGCAGAGTCTAGGGTTTGGGATGTCCTGGACAAGGACCTTAAATCCTGGCCCAGGATCAAAATCCGACTAAGAAAAATTCCCTAAGAAGCAAACAAGAAGAAGGAAGGGTCTTCCCTATGCCTTTCAGTCTTAACCCCTGAGTAGGCTTTTAGCACGGGGCCCTTTGGGTCACGCGAACACTCATCATAGGTGCACAGTCGTATACATATATGAGGGGGTAAGTGTGTGACGATCACTTCTCACAGTCACAGTGGGGTTTTCCACAACCATATGTATATATGTGATCCCAGACAATCAAAATCCAGCATCTTAGCCGCAAAAACATACCTGCAGTCACACCCAAGAATCAAACAATAGTCCACGCACTACACGGAGTCAACCCCAACCATTCTTTGCATTCATACCCCTTGCTTTAGCCATGCAAGCCCCAATCTCCAGTCCAACCAACCATAACTAAATACTCAGTACCTTTGTTAAATGGTCATTCAATAAAAGCCCGGGCGAAACCTTAACAAAATAACAAAGATCACCAGAGCTAAAGCCTTTTAGGTTGAGTCCAGGGGAGTGAGTTGGAATTGAGTCGTAAACAGACGAATCGGCAACAGACCTGTTATCAGTGATAACAGAAGATGATCCTTGTAGGATCAAAGCTAAAACTGGTTCAAATCCTGAATCAAATGGTCCAGAGGGCCTGTAACACAAGATAGAACAATCCTCAGGTTAAGCCTATAAGTCCATGGAGAATAAACCCCATATCATTATCTCACATAAATCATCCTAATTAACTAAGTCTGAATCTACTGCTAAACAGTGCCCAAAACAAAAGTAGACTCTGGCATAATTTCCCCTATACAGAGTGCATCGCCAGAATCGCCACCTGTCAAAATATAATCTAACTTCTTTAAACTAAGAAAATTTCGGCAGCGCTTCCCGTAGGAAAAGTGTCTTTCCAGAATTTACACCATCCCGAAAATAAAACCAGAAATAGTCTTTGACTTTCCAAAGTCCAATTTTGTCTGACTCCCTTAATTAGCAAAAATTTTGGCAGCACTCTCTTTAGAAAATGAGACTTCCCAGATTTTTACTAAGTCATATATGAAGTTTAGACAAGTTGAACTTTGAAAAGTTAAAATTTGACTAATGTCTAGGATTTGCAGAAATTTCGGCAGCGCTTCCCGTAGAGAAAGTAGCTTACCAAAATTTATACAAAGCCATGTATAACAAAAGATCCCTGAAAATGCGAGAATAGATCTAAGTAGAATAAACTTAGCTCGAAAAAATGCAGGAATTTAGAATAACTCATATCGCTCTAGCATGTGGCGAGCCTTTTAATCAACTACCTGTCAAACTGAAACTCAGACTAAGTAGTAGCCTCACTCAAACATGCAGGCCAAACCACAAAGGTAAGTACTCTCGTCATCCGTAGGTCAATTTAAGAGACAATAGTTCATAGTCTTTTAATGTTTTCACCCTTTGTACCCTGCTTACATAAGCCGTAAAGTCAGGTAATCCAATCTTATGGAACATGCTTGACTCAGCCATCAAGTATACACGAACAAATTGCACAACTACTTTTCTCTTCGTTTGGGCATATGACTAAGCCATTCATCTTAGAAACAAAGCTTGGTCGCCCTGAACTGTTTAATACTCGAGTTATATATACCTCTCTGAACTTAATGTTCAAAAGATGGACGTAGGACTGAGTCATTCATCTTAGAAATAAAGCTCAGCCTGCCCAAGGTTACCTTCAGTTATACTCTTAGTTATACTCTCTTCAACTTATGATAAGCTATAGTTAGGTCATCCAATCTTATGGAACCTTTGCCTGACTAGCCTGTTCATAGATAAAATAGTAATAAAGTATAGCCAAATTATAACCTTTTGGGTTCCAGCATGTGCGAGGCGTTGGGTCAGACCATCCAATCTTATGGAACATGTCTGGTCCTCTGCCATGTTCGTTTCTCTTTGATCCAATTGTGTGCGGCATGAGTCCAAAGCCATCCAATCTTATGGAATATGCTTTGTCATCAGCAAAAATTACTCCCTCAGAATAAAACAACCAAAAGAGTTGAGTTATTCATCTTAGAAACAAAGCTCAACTCTCTCTTCTCGGCACAAAAAAAAAAAAGCAAAGCACTCTGAGTTAACCCCAAAGGTTTTTCAGAAACCACCCAAAAATAAACAACGACCAGACCATTCATCTTAGAAACAAAGTCTGGTCCTCAAGTTTGCACAGCCAAAACCCCACAAAATAAATAGTCAGTCCATTCATCTTAGAAACAAAGTCTGGCGAAATTAAATAAACACAACGACCAAGCCATTCATCTTAGAAACAAAGCTTGGCCTTTTCATAAAACCAGAGTAAACACAGCAGTCAGGTCATCCAATCTTATGGAACCATGTCGGACCCTATAAGACCCTTCCAATCACAAGCAAAACCACCTTTCTCCCACCTTTCCCCCTAATGCAGTCCCTTGTGACAATCTGCTTTCAGACAGACAAAAAGTTGAAACTGCCATTGCATATGCCTTCCTTTACTTAGTCTGACTTATGTCCTGAAAGTCAAACAAAAGTCAAAGTAGGGGTACATACAACACACTCAGCCAACCATAGAGAGATATACAGATAGGGGTTATACATGGGGTGTATACAGGGGAAGTAATGGTTACCTTTCAGTTCCCTGCCTTCATAACTCCTGAGTTCCGGCAGAGCTCCCGCAATCGGTGGGCGGACTCCCCACAGAGTCTTGATGCGGGCTTACGGGTTGCAATCCCGCCTGCCGCCTTCCTCTCAGAACCAGGAGACTAGACTTAGAGTAAGAAGGGCAGAAGAAGAAGCATTTAGTCTCTCAGATTCAAGAGAGGTGCACTCAGACTCGCAGGAGAGGGCCTTCAAATCTTCAGCGCCTGAGGACCCCGCAATGGTGGCCAAG